ATGGGTACACGTGGGGCACCTGGGTGGCTCAGTTGGTTGAGTGTCCAACTGCTGTTTGGGTCATCATCTTGCGGTTCCTGAGTTCAAGCCCTGCATCAGGATCTGTGCTGACAGCTCAGAACCGGAGCTTGCTTCAGATTCTGTGTCTTCTGCTCTCCCTGCCCCTCTTCTGTTCATGCTCATGCTCTGTCTCTCGCCAATCAAAAATAAACATTTGGAAAAAAAAATGGGTATACTGTATTATATATAAATTATACCTCAATAAAGTTTATTTTGAAAAAAATATTCTAGGCAGAGTCCTGCTTCCAGTAATGGTGAACTGGCTCATTTTAATGGTCTCTCTTGCTAAGAAAACTGCAAAAAAATATTGGAGGGCAAGAGGGATGACTCCAAGATATTATGGTGGGGCAAAGAAGAGAATTACACAGTCCCAGTAAGGATAAGGAAATCCAGAGAAGTTAGTCTGATGTTTGGGGCTCCCCACCCCACACATTGAGTGTCCACCAACTATAGAAGAGGTGAAAGAGAGGCGGAGCAACTAAACAGACTGTCTGAGACTGACTCAAGGCATGTTAAAAGTTTTTAAAAAGAGAGAACTGAAATCAATTTGCATAGAAAATTTGAGTTCTGTGGCAAAGGAGAGCAGAAGCATCAGGAAGTGGACATAAATGAGGTAAATGGGCTCAAGAAACAATTTTAAAATTAATTTTTAAACATTTTTTGAGTAGGACATAACACATGTAGTACAAAGTCATGAAGGTACAAAAGGACTGTAGTATAAGCTCAGTTTCTTCTCATCCCTATTTCCTCCCAGTCACTCAGCCCCCTTCCTAGACACAATCACTCTTACCAGTTTCTTCAGTATTTTTCCACAGATATTTTATATATGTAAAATATATACAGAACATATTCTGGAGCTACTCTATGTATATCAACCTCAGCACCACTGATATTTGGGGCCAGATAATTCTTTGTTATCAGGGGCTATCCGGTGCACTGTAGGATATTAAATAGCATCCCTGGCCTCTATCTGCCGGTCGCCAAAAGCACCCCACCCCCAATTGTGACAACCAAAAATGTCTCCAGACATTGCCCCCAGTTTAAAACGACTGATGCATACCCAAGCACACACACGTATTTCCTCTCTATATTTTTCTACAAGCTCATGCCATATATACAGTTTTCAATCTTCCTTTTTTTACTTTATAATAATTGCAGATCATCCATCAGTCATGTAAAGATTTCAAATTTTATTTATATCTTGCTGTCAACAAGTACGGCCATTTATACCATTCATTATCTTAAGAGCATTCTATTTTTTTTTTTTTTTAATCTGGGGAGAAAGCATATTATTGCCTTTGATTTCATTAATGACACTTAGGAATAGCCTCAGTAATGAGCCCAAATCTATCCACCTGAAAAGTATCACTCTTTCTTGATGGCACTATATTCTAATTACTGAAAGTAATCAAGAGGAAATATTCTACTATGGAGTTCTATCTCCGCAAATAACAATCATAAGGACTATAGCAGCTAATACTTATTAAATACTTACTATCGGTTAGGGTGCTTTAGTTATACTGATATAACTAATTCTCACAACAACCTTCTGAGGATGGTACTATTATCTGCATTTCACCAAATAGGAGACCAAGGTACAGAGATGTTCAGTAATGTACTCAGGGTCACACAAGTAGAGACGTCAGAACCACGATTCAAATCCAGGCAGTCTGGCTCTGGTGTTCATCTCTAAACCATGATACTATTACTCTACAGTCAAAACCTACAAGTCTTAGATAATCATGTTTACATTCATATCTGTGGTTCTACTGATTTCAACTAAAATCCTGAATGTAAAGATGTTTTTGTTTAAAATTAGTAAGGGCTAATGTCCTTGAGTTTTACTATTGCATATATCCTGCATTTCCTAATAGCAGTCCAGTTAGTGTTTTTGCAAAACATTTCCCTTATGTTTTTCTCTGGCTAACAAACTGGCATCCTTTGTATTAGGACCATATATCTTTTTATATAGAACTGCTAGGATACTTTTAATAGTTATCCCATGGATTAAAAAACTATCCAAGTTATAGATTCCAACAAGAAGGAATTAGGGAAAATATAAACACAGCACCTTTCCCTTCATGCTTTTCGGTTCCATCCTATAGGCAGTACTGCAATAAATCTCAGAGTTGGATTTGCACTATTATTTTACCAATTACCAGTATATCCTCTACCTACCTCCTAAGAAGAGACTGTCTCATACATGTACATATCCTCAAGTCTAACTCGGTATCCAGTATATAGCTCAATAAATGTCTGCTGAACTTGGCTGCTTTTAAATTTAATTCCACAAAGGTTTTCCTCTTTCAGTTTAACAAACATCTTTTGACAGTTCACTATACACCAAACACTATGCAGAGGGAACAAAAAGAAATTCCTTACAAAAATGTTTGCAGAATATTTGCAGAATACAACTCATCATCATCATCATCAACAACAAACAATTCAGAAAGGGGCAAAGGAATTGAAGGCATTTTTCCAAAGAAGACATAAAAATAGCCAATAAGTATATTAAAAGATGTCGAACATGACTAATCACTAGAGAAATGCAAATCAAAAGCCTATGACATATCACCTCACACTCATCAGGATGTCTACTATCAAACAAAACAAAACAAAACAAAACACCCAGAAAATAACAAGTGTTGTCAAGCATATGGAGAAATTGGACATTGTGTGCACTGTTGTGAATGTAAAATGGTGTAGACATTACGGAAAATACTATGGTGGTGCCTCAAAATCTTAGAATTATCATGAGATCCAGCAATCCCACTTCTAGATATACCCAAAAGAATTGAAAGCAGGGACTTGAAGAGACATTATACATTCATGTTCACAGCAGCACTATTCACAATAGTCAAGAAGTGCAACCCAAGTTCCACTGATGTATGAATGATAAGCTAAATGTGGTATGTACATACAGTGAAACATTACTGAGCCTTAAAAGAAGTAAATGATACAAAACTGAATGCCTGGAAATGGTACAACATGGATGAACCTTGAGCACATTTTGCTAAGTGAAATGATCCAGACACAGGACAAATACCATATGATCCCACTTATATGAGGTAGTCAAATTAAGAGACAGAATGTAGAATGGTGGCTGCCAAGGGTTTGAGAGAGAGAAGAATGGGGAGTTAGTATTGAATGGGGACAGAGTTTCAGTTTTACACGATGAAGTGTTTTAAAAATGGATGGTGTGATGGTTGCACAATAGTGTGAATGTACCTAATGTCCCTAATCTGTACACTTAAAAATGGTTAAGATGGTTAATTTTATGTTATGTGTATTTCACCACTATTTTTTTTTTTAAATATTTTTATTTATTTCTAGGAGAGAGGGAGAGAGACAGCGTGAGCAGGGGAGGGTCAGAGAGAGAGGGAGTCACAGACTGAAACAGGCTCCAGGCTCTGAGCTGGCAGTCAGCACAGAGCCTGACGCGGGGCTCTAACCCACGAACACGAGATCATGACCTAAGTGAAAGTCGGACGCTTAACCGACTAAGCCACCCAGGCGCCCCATCACTATTTTTTTAAAAACTGCAGAAGAGCTAACAGTCTAGATTTCTTCAAGAATTAGCCGACACCACGTCCTTGCTTTCCAAATGGCCACGTGACAAAAAACTTCCCTTAAACTCTAAAATTAGACCAAAGGCCCAAAAGTCTGAGGACTATGCCATCCACATCCCCTCAACAGTACTATCGTTCTGTTAATATGGAATGCCCATTACTCAACTGCTTCATTTTCAGTTCCTACACGTTTGGTATACAATTTCTAGTACTGAGCCCCTTGTAACAAACTTTACTGTATCTAAGTATTTTTAATCCTTATATACATTCAAAGGTAAAACAAATTTCACTAGGTAATATCAACACAAAAAAGGCTTTTCTAGTAAGCCTTTGCTGGCTGCTGGTTTGTGGTCCCATTTAATATTTCTTGCTTTGTAGATGTATTTGGTTTTGCTTTGTATTTTAAAAACATGTTTATAGTCACACTCAAGGATCTCCAGAAAGGTCAATTTACTATTTGAGATTGTGAACTGAACAGATTTATCTTGCCATTCTGAAACTATTACTGGGAAAAAGTGTTTGGTTTTGATGGTGAGAGCACCATTAAAATGTAAACAGAAATGCCTATTTGTAATAGCTTCAATCAATTAACTTTCAGATATATGATGCTTACAGTAAAAAGAATTGGTAAGAAAATTTTATTTTATTTTATTTTTTTTTACAAATAGTTTATTGTCAAATTAGTTTCCACATAACACTCAGTGCTCATCCCCACAAGTGCCCTCCTCCATGTCCATCCCTCCTCCCCCCCACATCCATCAGTCCTCAGTTTTTGTCAGCATTCAAGAGTCTCTCATGGTTTGCCTCTCTCCTTTTCCCCTACCATTTCCGCCCTTCTTCTCCCCCTTATTCCTCCGTCAAGTTCCTCCTAATCCTCCTATATGTGCAAACATATGATATTTGTCCTTCTCTGCCTGACTTATTTCGCTCAGCATAACACCCTCAAGGTCCATCCATGTTGCTACACATGGCCAGATTTCATTGTTTCTCATTGCCATGTAGTATTCCATGGTATAGATAAACCACATCTTCTTGATCCATTCGTCCGTTGATGGACACTTAGGCTCTTTCCATGTTTTAGCTATCGTGGAGAGTGCTGCTATGAACATTGGGGTACATGTGCTCCTATGCCTCAGCATTTCTGTATCCCTTGGGTAAATTCCTAGCAGTGCTATTGCTGGGTCCTAGGGGAGTTCTATTGTTAGTTTCCTGAGGAACCTCCACACTGTTTTCCAGAGGGGCTGTACCAGTTTACATTCCCACCAACAGTGTAGGAGGGTGCCCGTTTCTCCACATCCTCGCCAGCATCTTGTGTTCTCTGATTTGCTCATTTTAGCGGTAAGAATATTTTAAATCAAAGGTTTCCCTTACCTGCTGTTTCTTGCCCATGACAAGTGTTCAGTTCAGCCAGAAGCTGGTTAAAATCATCCTGATGAGCAATCCAGTTATCCTGAAAATACCCAAAACATCAATTAAAGGTAAGCTTACAGTTTACCTACACCAGTTGAGATAGATTTATTTTGGAATCAAGGAAATCTATCATTAATGCAAAATTTTAAATGTTTCATCAAAATACTATGGTATAAATTTGAATGAAGAAATAATATAAATTTAAAATATAATTTATCTATGTCAATTTTAAAAATGGGCTTCTTGGAAGACTGAGTCCTGATTTCAAATGTGGATAACTTATCAACAGTCTAGCTATAATCAAATAATTAACAAGCAACCTGCGTGCTAAATATTAAAACAAAGCAAAATAAAATCATTACTTTTCTCTCATTATGGCAACATTATGTGGATCAAAGGAAAAAACCAGTGACAGGCTTCAGGGCTCTCTTTTGTGCTCATGTGAACTTAAAATACTTTGCCCAATTCTACATGCTTGCATTGACCCTAATTTTTACAAACAACACTGAGGAAGGAGTAGGAAAGACTCCAAGTTCCCTCAGTCAGCACCCTCATGAAGTGGTGCTAATCTGTTCATTATAACAAAAATAATCTGACTTTAAAAGGGAATGGACATCTGCAAAACAATCTCAACCAATGGGAAGCAAGTATCAATGCAGAAATTTGCCTTATGCACCCTTTTTTAAGAATGCTGAAGGTTAAGGCATGTTAAATAGGTTTACTGGGCAAGGCTTCTCCTAAAAACTAAGTGTATCTGTGCATCTATCTCTCAACAGCTACCTTCAAAACCAATCTCGCATAAACTCTAGTGGTTTAAAATTTTCGCTGTTAGTCCAGAAAATTTTAGCTGCTCTAGTCTATCACTCATCACACTTACTACTTCTAGTCCATTGCTCAGTATATCGAATCAAAATAATTTAGGGTATTTCTCCAAAATGATAAATAGTTCTCCAGATTTCCTATCAGATTCTGTTGGCTATAAAAATTTAAGAACAAAGTTTTCAGCTTAGAATACTGAATACTTACACTCTTATATACTTAATACTTAGACACTAGAGTGATACTAAAAATGAAAAGCATGATAGGCCAATAAGTTTTAATTATGGTGTTATATTTTCAAAGCACCAGTATTTGGGAAACCTGAATAAATTCAACTGCTGTATACCAACAGTCAGAAATAGACAAAAGGGCGGCCCCCGGGTGGCTTAGTCGGGTAAGTGTTCAAGTTGGGCCCAGGTCACGTTCTCACAGTTCCTGAGTTCAACCCCGCATCGGGCTCTGTGCTGAGAGCTTAGAGCCTGGAGCCTGTTCTGGATACTGTGTCTCCCTCTCTCTCTGCCCCTCCTCCGCTTGGACTCTGTCTCTGTCTCTGTCTCTCTCTCTCAAAAATAAATAAATGTTTTTAAAAAATTAAAAATAGACAAAAGGACAGAAAAAGGTCACCACTTTCTTTCAGAAAAAACTTATAAGTGCCCTCCTCCATGCCCATCCCTCCCTCCCCCCACATCCATCAGTCCTCAGTTTTTGTCAGCATTCAAGAGTCTCTCATCAGGGAAACGAAATGATTATTTCTATGAAGAATATTTTTTTCAAAGTTTAAGAACAAAACTAATTTGGATCTCTTAGACATAAGCAAGTAAAGAATCCTCTAAGGAAAATAAGGCAAGAAGAAGGCATGTTATGTAATGAAAAGCCTGCTTAGTTATGGGCTCTTTAGTTAACCAGAGCATGGAGGACACATACTTGAATAAAAACTCTCATCAATTTGATTAGATTAAATGTGTGCATTTACAAAGAAAGCCAATCATGCAAGGAAAACCCCCAGCAAATACTGTTGCTCACTTCATTATTGATTGTAGCTCCAAGTCCCAGGTGGTTATTTTTAACTTGAACTTTAATATGATCTGTGGCTCCTTGCTCCTGAGCCCCTAAACCCTGTGGAGATCAAGCACAAAGAGAATTATTATTTTTATCAAGTATAAAGAGAATCACATCTTTCTTCCTTCATCAACTATTCGATTAATTATGAAATATCCAGGAGCGAGGCACTATCCTTACCCTCAAAAAGGACACAATCTAATGGAATCTTACAAAGTATGTCTGTAATACCAAGGATGCATTTACAATAATGAGTGCTAATTCTTCAACCTGAGACCTATTTCACAGCCCCTGTACACACCATGGAGAACATGCCTTTTTGTGATGCTCGAAATCAGAGTACTACTACCAAACTAATGGAGCCCATTGGAGATATTACAAATCTATGTCTCTGTTATATAATTTTATAAAACAACACTGAGAGTGGAGAAAGGAAACCCCAAGCCCCTGAATCAGTTAACATTCATTTGTAAGTTGTCCCAGAGAGCCTACTATACTGAAGAAACTAAAAGGTAACCCGGGCGGCTCCAGGTGAGTGGACAAAGAGAAAATAAGATGATATAAAGGAGCCAGACCTCAAAAGACCTTAAAAATTATGGTAGGAATTTGGATTTAATTTTTTAAAACAATGAAAAGCCACTTTTAAGCTGGGGAACACTATGATCTAATTTCTGTATTTCAAAAGATATTCTGGCTGTTGTTCGGCCAACGGTCCAGAGAAAGAAAGAAAAGGAGGGACGGAAGCAGCTGAGAGGTCAGGCAGTGATGGTGCGTGGACCAGGATGGGGCCCTGAAAAGAGAGAAATAATGACTGGTGATGCGAGAAGTGAGAGAGGTAGAGGTACCAAGCAAGACCATTTACAAAAATGGGGAAAACTTGAGACGGAAAAGACTGGGAGGTGGGTATCAAGAGTTTTATAACAAAAATTATAAACTTGAGATGCTTACTCAAGTGGAAATGTCAAGCAGGCTAGTGGATTTATAAACCTGAATCTCAGAGGACAGATCTGGACCAGATGTAGAAACCTGACAATTCTCAGAATTTAGACCATTCGAAGTATGGTATGGAATGAAAATGCTCACCTTTCAGAGTACAGAAAAGGACTAGGGCTGAACCCTGAGGAATTCCAGGGCTGAAAAGCTCGGCAGAGGAAGAGCAAGCAACACTCTGAGGAGTGGCCAATGAGGTAGAAGGAAAAACAGGGAAGAGCAGTATTATGGAAGCCAAGACACAAGTATTTCAAGAATAGTCCATTATGTCCAATGCTGCTAAGAAATTAAGTAACGTGAGAACAGAAAGGGACCCACTGGAGTTGGTAACAAGATCATTAAAGGCTGTCACAGGAACTATTTAAACAGAAAAGTATCAGCAGAAATCCCATTTCAGCCAGGGATAAGTGGAGTGTGAGGAAAATGGGAAAATGCGTATTCTGAGCTATGAAAAGAAACAAAATGTTACCTTATCAATATAAAACACTGATGGTTAAGTATGATTCCAAGTGCAGCTAATTAAAAGGCACAACTATGAGTGATACTAATCACAGCAGTTTAAATGAAAAACGAAGAAAATTCACGTTTATATTAAATTCTAATTTTATCATTACAAATTAGTTATGTCTCCAAAATCACTTAACTGATCAAAAACATAAATTTCTCCCAGTGTCCTAAGAAAGATGCATTCTCCTGATTTGCCTTTATGTATGGCTCCGATTTCTTTGCTCTTCTCCAACATACCTTTCCTTTAGACCACCCCATCTTCTCTAGCATCCTCTGGCCAAATTTGGAATCATCATTGCTCCAGGCAGTGTTTCTTGGATCCACAGCCCACTTCTGCTTCCGCCGGCCTGCAAATGACAAAGTATCTCATCAGCAATTTATCCTTCAAACCTGGAAAATACTACACAAATACACACAAAAGCTAATATGTATACACATATTTGCATAAAATATGACAAACAATATGTTTTATTAGATACAGATATCAGATTCAGCATTCAATGAAATATCATCAGTTTGGATCACCCACCCTGGTTTTCTCATAACAATTATATTCTCAATATACAAACGGGCCTAAGAAAAGAATAACAGTGTCCCCTCCAAACGTGACAAATAGAAATATGTGATATACCATCAGTTGCTAAAGACAGCAACTGAAAGCACGTGTCAACACCGGTGTCATCATCACCAGGAGCAGCAGCAGCAGCCACTATAGCTTCCACTGACATAGGTTACATGCCAAATGCTATCCATACATTGTATGCACAGTAACCCACTGAGGATGGAAATTCTTACCTCCATTTTTCAGATGAGAAAATCTGAGGCTTAGAGAAAGAAATGTACTTAATGTCCCCAAACAAATATCAGAGCCTCTACATAAAGCAACATTCTACTGACATCAAAGGTTATATTCTTAATCCACACAAGTCATTATGATTTTGGGAAGACTCACCTGTACCCTCCACACAGGTGATCTACAGATAGTAATGATACCATCCCTTATCACTGAAATGCCCTAGAGCCACATGACTCCTTCTCTGAACATCCAGAATAATTATCTGCTTTCTTTTCTGGCATTTAACACATATTCTTCGGTATTATGGCTCTTAATATCCATCTCTTATGTTTCTTATGAGACCATCATATCCTTATGGCTTACATTTGTGTATTATCCTTTTTCATGCTTCATTGCAAGAAGCAGAAAACACTAGGGGTGCCTGGGTGGCTCAGGCAGTTAAGCGTCCGACTTTGGCTCAGGTCATGATCTCATGGTACATGGGTTTGAGCCCCGCGTCAGGCTCTATGCTGACAGCTAGCTCAGAGCCTGGAATCTGCTTCAGATTCTGTGTCTCCCTCTCCCTCTAACCCTCCCCTGTTCATGCTGTCTCTCTCTCTCTCTCTCTCTCAGAAATAAATAAAAACCGGGGGAAGGGGCAAGATGGCGGAGAAGTAGGGAGCTCCGTACCTGCACTCGCGCCCAGGCATCACATGGAAAGATCTGAAGCCATAGGAAACCGTACCACACCCAAGACATTGGGAGAGAAAGGACGCAGATTCCACTGAGAAAGACTTCTAATGGCTACCTCAAGAAACAAGCCATAGTACACAAGGTGGAGAGTCCCAAATATCACTATGAATAGGAAAATAAAATAACCAAGGTCCCAACAAGAGAGACCAAGAGATACCATTCAAAAAACACTCTCTGAAAGGATAGGCCCTGGACAAAGAGTCTTCTTGGATATAGCAGCGCTCATAGATACAGAGAGGATTAACAGGTCTTTAAAACCAACAAGAGCCGGAAAGCTAACTAAAATGACAAAACAAAAGAGCTCTCCTCCAAAGAAACTCCAAGAAGAAATGACAGCTAATGAACTGCTCAAAACAGATATCAGCAGCATAACTGAACAAGATTTTAGAATAATAATGGTAAAATTAATAGCTGGGCTTGAAAAAAACATAGGGGACATCAAAGAAACTATGGCTACAGACAGAATGGAAAATAAAAATAGGCATGAAGAATTTAAAAATGCGATAAATGAGATACATAACAAATTAGAGGCCTGCAATGCACGGATTGAAGAGGAGAAAGGAGAATAAGTGATTTAGAAGACACCATTATAGAAAAACAAGAAGCTGACAAAAAAAAAGACAAACTGATCCAGGAACATGAAAGAAGAG